GATAAGATAAGGAAGCAGGGCACTGGAGAAAGAAGTTTGTTCACATCCACAGAGGCTAGAGAAGGCAGGCTTATTTGGACGAGAGGTGAAAGCCTGGTTTGGGTGGAATGTAGAGTGTAGGAAAAGGAATAATGAGAAATGACTCTTAAAATGAAGGTAGAGCCAGGTCCTTAAGTACTCAATGAAAAATTTTCTATTCTCTCTCTCTCTCACTGTCTCTCCTCTCTCTCTCTCTTTGTATATACATATATATACACAAATCCATGTATATACATATATATACATATATACATACATGAATATATACATATGTACGTAATATATAATGTATATAATCAGTGGCAATGGGGAGCTATTGGATATTCTGGAGAAGGACAGGGAACTTGTATACCTGAAGCAGGATATTTTGGAAACTTTGTGAAGGATGGTTGCATAAGGGAGACAATAGAGAGAAAATCATTAGGAGGCAACTTAACAGCCCAGACCCAGGGTGATGAAGGCCTGAACTCTCAGGGTGGCTGTGTGACTTAAAAAGACAGGATGGAGGCAAGAGCTGTTTTATAGGAAGAATTGATAAGACCAGGCAAACTTATTGGATGTGACTGATGAGGGAATGAGAGTCAAATGATTGATTTTGAGATTGGGTGATGGAGGGCCTCTAGATGCCACCAAAAGAACCAGGTAAGTAGGATGGAGGGACAGGTTTGGTGGGGACAGAACCAAGATGGATTCCAACTTTACCCCCTGATAAGTCACTAACCTCTTTAGCCTTTTATCTAGAGGAAAAGAGTTGAGGCAGGGGACAGCAATGAAGCAAAGACCAGCTGTAGCAGGGTGACATTCTCACCATAGCTATAGTGGCCATGAGAGGGGTGGCCCAATGGTGAGACAATAGGGATGAGGTGATAGTGGGTCTTCAGTTAGGACACAAAATCCCAATCATTTCTATGGGCAAACACTGTAGAAATGTGACTTAGGTACATGTATATATACATGACTTATGTAGTAGTGGCAGAGAAGTATGTGCAGCCACTAGGAGGAAAAAGCATCATGGGGAAGTTGATGACAGGGGTGGAGCTTGGGTATAGGGAAGGAGGGAAGTGGTTGTGGTACATGCCTGTAATCTCTGTTACTGAGTGAGGTTGAGGTAGATCTATCTCTTGAGCTCTGGAGTTCTGAGTCACAATGGGGCGAGAGCCAATGGGGTGTCACCAGCAAGGGTAGCAACACTAGAAGGAGCCATGAGGAGCAGTGGGCCACCAGGCAGCAGGAGGAGGTATGGACTAGCCCAAGTCAGAAATAGAATAACCAGTGACACTGGGAGATTAATGGAGCTTATCAGACTGTACCTCCAGCCTGAGAAAGATAAGGAGATTCACTCCCCAAAAGCAGAGAAAAAAAAAAGCAACAGGCACTGAAATGGATGTAAGGATGACTGGCCTCTAGTCTAGTTCTGCCAATGGCTCAGAGTTGGGGGGCATTTTAGAGTGACCTTAGACAAATCATGGCCCCTGTTTTCTAATCTGTTAACACAAAGAGAATAGGCCAGATGATCTCTAATACACCTTTCAGTTCTAATACACCTTGAAGTTCCTACAGTTCTCACATCATTCTAGGTTAGAGGTTCCAGGGTCACTTCACTCAGAGCTAATGTTTCCTGTCCTGAGCACCCTTCTAATTTTGACCTCTGGGCTCATTTTCCAGCTCTAAAAACCAGTGATTCCTTGGATCTAAATATCCTTCCATACTCATCTTTTCCCATTCTAGGCAAAGAAAAAATGTTGCCAGAGCACCTCCAGGATGACCAGCTCTATCAATACAAATGGTTTGTTTTAGAGTTCTATGAGATTTTTTTTTAAATATCAAACCAAGGAGCAGCTAGGTGATACAGTGAATATAGTGCTGAACCTGGAGTCAGGCAGTCTTGAGTTCAAAACTTATACATCTTTGGTGTGAGACTCTCTGTAAATCACTTAACCTCTACCCACTTAATTTTCTCTTCTGTAAAATGTGGATAATGCTAACACTAATGTCCCAGGGTAATCATGAGGATTAAATTTAAAAACTAATAAATGTGAAGTGTGTTACCAACTTTAGGGTGAAAGATTAATGTTACCTGTCAGTATTATGATTCACACAGCCCAGCAAGGGCTTTTCCCTTCAAAGAAGCACCAGGGAGACCAGATACTTATTCTTCCCATCATTGCTGAGAACAAACATGCCTGGTCTCCTTGTGAAATTGTCTTTAAGAGCCAGGTTAAAAATCATAAGGAAACCCATGGTTCCTAAACTTCCTCATGTGGGTAAACCTTAGAAAACCAAAATCAGAGTGTGGGAGAAAATGTCAGAGCATCCTCAGACACAGTTGGTGTGTTGGTCAGTTTTGCTGAACTCTTTAATTCTCTTTCTTTTTCAGTCTTAGGGTTTCAAGGTGATGGCTCTTTGGGTCGGGAAGTGAGGGGGGATAAATCCAGAAATAAAGGTGATTTGAAAACAAAATATTTCAATAAAATAAGACAAAACCTTAAACTAAAGTCTATTTTATTCTGAATTAGAAGTTACTGAAATCTCTTGGTCCTTCTCTCTATATTCTTCTTCAGATGATACGAAAGCCATGATCCAAGGAAATGACACCCGAGTGACAGAGTTCATTCTCCTGGGATTTGCAGTTCAAGAAGAAGTGCAGCACATCCTCTTCTTTGTGTTTCTGGTCATCTATGTGACATCTCTAGTGGGAAATGTTGGTATGATTCTGCTCATCAAGTGGGATGCCCGCCTTCATACTCCCATGTATTTTTTCCTCCAAAACTTGGCTTTTGTTGACCTCTGTTACACATCTGCTATCACTCCCAAGATGTTAGTAAACTTCCTTGTCTCAGATAAATCCATCCCATTCTTGGGATGTGTGATACAATTATATGTTTATGGCATATTTGCCACGATTGAATTATACCTTTTGGCTTCCATGGCTGTAGATCGTTATGTGGCCATCTGCAACCCACTCCATTATCCAATAGTCATGTCCCAGAGGGCCTGCATCCAGCTGGTCACTGGATCCTATGTTGTGGGTTCCCTGAATGCAACCACACACACAGGACTTCTCTTTTCACTGTCCTTCTGTAATTCCAACACCATCAATCACTTCTTTTGTGATGTGCCCCCGATCCTGGCCCTTTCCTGTTCTAATATTGATCTTAATGTCATGTTGTTAATCATCTTGGTGGGCTTTAACCTGGTAAGCACATTGCTGGTAGTGTTCTTCTCCTATGTTTACATCTTGGCTGCCATCTTGAGGATGCCCTCTGCTGCAGGGAGGCACAAAGCCTTCTCTACTTGTGCCTCCCACATGACTGCTGTCACCATTTTCTATGGAACCCTCTCTTACATGTATTTACAACCTTCTTCCAGTGTGTCACAAGAGAACGATAAAGTGGTCTCTGTGTTTTATGGTATCGTGATACCCATGCTCAACCCCCTGATCTACAGTCTGAGAAACAAGGAGGTAAAAGAGGCTATGAAAGTTCTAGTAAAAAGTTTTTCATGAGTCAGGCCTTGCATTCCAGTGGAATAGTTCAGAGAAGCATTCAAGCAACAAGCATCTCATTTCTTTTCTCTAATAGCTAGATTTTGGGTCAGTTCATAGAGCAGCCCATCTCATTGCTTCAATATGTCAACAAGAGATCAACGACAGGGAATATGAGAAAGTAAGTTTAGAAACATATCTCCTCTTTGTGTATATCTGGAAATACGCCTCAGCCTACTTGAACCCAGCGTGGATGTCTCCACTGCCCTTTGAGTTACCCATACCTCTTTTTCCTCAGAAATTTTGGTGTTCTAATATTTGTGATGACTCATACTCTGAAGAGAATGTTTGCATTAAGATAAGTCTTGGGGCAGCTAGGTGGCACAGTGGATAAAACTCTGGCCTTGGAGTCAGGAGGACCTGAGTTCAAATCTGACCTCAGACACTTAACACCTATTAACTGTGTGACCCTGGGCAGGTCACTTAACCCCGATTGCCTTACCAAAAAAAAAAAAAAAAAAGATAAGTCTTTGCAGTAAAGTGCAACTTGTGATCACTAAATGCAACATATTATTCCTCCCATTCAATTTTGAGCTCATTTCACTGTTTATGTACAGTGCTTTTACCAGTAATTTGTGTTAATGTGCTAATTAATGGACTTGTAATACAACTTTGTGTCATTGTCTGAGCTATAGATATTTATATCATCCATCTAGTTGTTCCTGTATAGATTGCTAAGGTGATCGCTTTTGACTAATCAATCTATTTCAATAAGTAGGTTTGATGTAGACAGCACACCATCATATGTAAAGAAGAGCATTCAGAAGACCTTACATTTTACAGGGAATCTTCTTTTCCATTTAGACAGCATGCAAGATATCCTCAAGGACAATGTTGAACACCATTGGAAATAATTTTTCTCTCTGTTTTATGTCTCACTTGATTTTAATAACTAAGTGATGATTGAAAGTTACCTTTGTGGTTGCATTATCTAAGAATCTTTCATGACTTTTTCCTTTTGATAGAAGACAAGTTGGTGGCACATACTTCCCCTTGACTATCTTAAAGATATAAATAACTATGCACATGGGTAATTCATTAATGATGCCCTTTTTATTTCTTTCTGTAGTAACAGTGTTTTCTGTCATTTATTACAATCATTCTATATCTTTCTCTCTTGGAGACATCTTGAAAACTGATCCCCGAGTACCTTAAAATTGGGTTTCTGGGGCAGCTAGGTGGTGCAGTGGATAGAGCACTGGCCCTGGAGTCAGGAGGACCTGAGTTCAAATCCGGCCTCAGACACATAACACTCATTAGCTGTGTCACTCTGGGCAAGTCATTTAACCCCAAATGCCTCACAAAAAAAAAAAAATTGGGTTTCCACCATCTTAGAATTCTTCAAGTCCAAGTGTTCTTCCCAACTTCAAACTCCTAGTGTCATTTCCTCTTGTAAAAATAGCATAATGCATACTAAGGTGTTAGTGTTCAAATGTCATAATCAAAGATGATCACTTTGAAATGTTGGCAGATCTACTCCACTTCCACCTTTGTTACGGAATTACAATCTGTCTTTCAACTCCTCTACTCTCCTCAACCAGCTTTCTGCATAATTACCTAAACTTAACTGCCAAATTCAATGTCTTTTTTCAGGTTTCATTATCTCTGACCTCCCCTCCCCCCCCCCCCCCCCCCCCCCCACTGTTGACCAGCCCTCTTGGAAATTCTCTTTTTTTTTGGTTTCATTGTCACTTCTCTTCCCAGATATTCCCACTGCGTATTAACCTGAGGTGTTTTTCTTAAGTTTTCTTTGAGATCTGATCATCCATTTCCTCTTCCCAAACTTTGAGTGTCCCAGATCTCCATCCTGACCACTTTTTTTCAAATGAGTTAACATACCCTGCCCCTCTCAACCCTATCTTCCTTCAGGACTCATATCAAATGACATATTCCTCCATGACACTTTCCTTGACCCTCTACAGCTGTTATTATTTATCTCTAACTTCTCCAAATACTTTGTATTTATTTGTATGTCTCTATATTATACCCTCCAGAAGGTTAGAAGCCCACTATAGCACAATGCTTTCATTGTTGACTTTGTGTCCCCTGTGCCTAACACAGTAGATTGCACATAGTAGGGGGTTGATAAATATATGTTGAATATGAAGCGCTGCTAACGACACAGAGGTCACATCCATTAATAGATTGAGGGATCTTGGAAACATCAGAAACTGACCCAGCTCAATTGGATGAAGTCTTCACCAAAGATCTAAAATGTCTGATTCAACCTTGGGTTTTGCCAGAAGTTTTAAATCATCTACCACAATTCCTCAAGTTTCCTTCAAAGTCAGTTCCTGGAAACTTGCTGAGAATATATTAGTTGCCATTGCGTAACTCAATCACAGGCAAATTTAGAAAGCAAGAAGTATTAGGCGAGTGAGCAATCGAGCATGTGCAGTAAGTTCTTCTGCCATTATCCAATAGTATTTATGTATCCATAAGGGAAATGTTGGTCTCTATCCCTAGGAGAAAGGAAAAGAGGTTGGTGCAATTCACCTATATTCTCTAGTTTATTAAGAATTAACTTTTCCTAAACCTGGAAAGACTTACATGAACTGAAGCTGAGTGAAGTGAGCAGAACCAGTTAAGCATTATACACAGTAACAGCCACTTTGTGCAACGACTAACTTTGATAGACTTGGCTCTTCTCAGCAATGCAAGGATCTAAGACAACTCCAAAAGACTCATGATGGAAAATGCTATCCACGCGTACAGAAAGAATTATGGGGTCTGAATGCAGATTGAGGCATATTATTTTTTCTTTTTTTTTTCTTTCTTGTGGTTTTCCCCTTTGGTTCTAATTCTTCTTTACAACACGACTAATGTGGAAATCCATTTCATGTGATTGTACATATATGGCCTCTATCAGATTGCATGCCATCTTGGGGAGGGAGGACAGGAAGGAGAGGGAAAAAATTAAAACAGACAATCTTATAAAAGTGAGTGTTGAAAACTAAAAATAAATAACTAAAAATAAAAAACCCTAAAATAAATAAATATTTAAAAAAATAAACACCTTTATTGGTAAGCTGGTTAACATAAAAATAACAATTTTGCAATATTAAAAAAAAGAATTAAGTTTTTCTTAAAAGAATGTAGAAATAGGCACAATGTGCTACAGTGGAGAAAGTGTTACATTTCTTCAAACAGAGCATATGGGTTGACATCCGGGCCCTGCTACTTATGACCTGTGGGACTTTAGACAACTCTGGGCCTCAGTTTTTTCATCTGTAAAATGAGGGAATTGAAGTAAATGCCATCTAAGTTTCCTTTCAGCTCTAAAACTTTGATTCTGTGACTCCGTACGCTTCAAGGAAGAAACAAAAAGAACATAAAAAAAGTGAAACAGAATCCCTACTCATATAATAATTTTTGAGGGCTGAGAGGCAAGAGAAGGGCTTCTTTTTACTTAGGGGCATTTAATAAGTATTAAGCCCTTTCACATATAAGGGAGGTTTATGCCGCTTACTCAGTACTTATGTAACATGCCCTGCCCCCAACACTGGGAGCCTTCACTATTTCCAAGGTCCACCACATTCTTTGTTAACCAAATCAACAGTTTAAGCACCCATGCAGTGTGTTTTATTATACAGCAAACTACTTTGACTCACAAAGTCATCCTTAAATGACATTTAATCAAAACAGGCTGCAAAGAAAAATGAAGGAAAAAAAAAAGAAAAATGAAGGATACTGAAATAGCTACATACACGTTCAAGTGCGTGAAATGGAACTGGAAACACACTGGATTGTATCAGGAAACACAATTCACTCACAATAAGGTTTTAACACAGGATCTAGGAGCTATGTTGAGGTTACTATTCCTTTCCTTTTGGCAAGGCAGTTTTATTATCTTCTGTTGGGAGGCAGGAATTTCATAGAAGTGTCCTTAGGGCTCCCCATATTAACATGCATTATTCATAGACATTCAAACCTTTTTTATCTGGGGGCTAGGGTTCAAATCGTTATTGGGTTGGAAATTGCTTTGAAAGGTAGGATAATATAATGGATAAGCTGGAGTCAGGAAGACCTGGCTTTGAATCCTGCCTATAATATTTACAAGGTGGACAAATCACTTCATTTCTCTGTGACTGTCTCACAGCTCTACTTCTGACTCTCTAGACTGTAACCATGTCTCAGCTTCCTTCCTTGCCTCAACCCATGGTCTTCTCAACCGGCATGATCCCTCCACACCAAGGTCCTTTCTCTCAGTTAGCTCTTCCTAGAAAGTCCATTTTGAGGACCCAGGTCAGCCATCCTTTATTCCTTTCCTATCTGACTCTTCAGACTTTCCCACAATATTTAGGTACCCCGCCTTAGCCCTGACTTTACAACCCTCTTTTATGTGTCATCTTAGAATGTAAGCTTTTGAGAGCAACGGTTATCTTTTTTTAACTTGTATTTGTATCCCTGGTGGTTAGCACAGTGCCTGGTAAGTGCTTAGTTAGTATTTGTTGACTTGCCTTGCCTTAATTATCTTATGTGTAAAATGAGTGGTTTGGATTTAATGACCTTTAAAGTCCTTTCCAATTCTAAATCTAGGACATTATGAAGTCTCAGGAACTGCATCTTCTGTGTGTGTACAATGTCAGGACCAAGTTTCCAGAGGTTCCTCATAATCCACTCTTTCATAGCTTCAGTCCCAAACCATCCCTGTATCACATCTGTGGCATGTTCTAGCCAAGTCCCAAAGGCTTTCTCTTTAAATAGACTGTCTTCTGAAATGGATCATTAGTTTCCATATTGAATCCCATGCCAGTGAAGGAGAAGTGGCCTTTCCTGCTTCAGAGTATCACCTTCTCTGCTTAGGAACTTACTAGGGGTCCTGGAGGGATAAGTGACTTGTCCAATGGGATCACATAACCAGTGTATATCAGAGGCAGAACTTGAGTCCAGGTCTTTCTGACTCTGAGAACAACTCAATAGTCACTATGCTGCCAGGCTGGCTCTCCTAATTATTATAC